GGAAAGGATGGATGATAAAAGGCTGCTGAAAAAGGTGATGAATTTGAGAGTTGATGGGAGAAATGCTAGAGGGAGGCCTAGGTTTGGATTGATGGATGGAGTAAGGAGAGCCCTAAATGATAGGAGGATGGATGTGAGGGAAGCAAGCGAGCGTGCTAGGAATAGGAATGAGTGGTGAGCGATTGTGACGCAGCTCTGATGGGAATCTGCTGTTACCATGGGGCTGCATCTTAGAGAGGTAGCCCTTTGGTAGGGGCAGTAGGAGGAGTTGGCAGTTGTGAAGCAACACAGGTTGTGGAAGAGCCGGGAGGATGGGCTGTGGCACTCCAGCAGTGCCATCTGAACGGTCGCTAGCTCGCTCGTCATTGCCAATAGAGCAAAGTAATCCCCCTATTTGCTTTCCTTTCTTGATGTCGGCTACACCCCAATTAAAGGGGGAAACAGCCAAGGTAGATAGATAGATAGACTATTCATAACTTTAAGCAGTGCAGATTCCGTCAAGAGTTTTGGTCTGAAACCATGTTAGTTAGTAGCTAATAGTCTATTTTACTCTAAATATAACATAAGTTGGCATGTCACAGTTTTTTTCTAATATTTTAGAGAAAATGGGTAGCAGGGAAATGGGACGATAGTTTGTCACATCTTCTCTGCCCCCATTTTATGCAGAGGTATTACATGTGAATTTTTCCAAGAGTCAGGAAACCTTTACTAACAATGGAAGTGTTCATAATACCTTGAATGTAAGATACAATCATGTGTAGAACATCTCTGATGAATTGAAATTGCATACCATCTGAACCATAAGAGCCAAAGTTTCTTAGGCTCTTTATGGTAAGAATTAGGGTAGCACAATCGATAGGATTTATCTTGAATTACTCTCTTGTGTTTACATTGGAAGAATTGACATTTAAGTAATTACTCATATTCACTGAGTTGATGTTTTCTTGTGTTTTCTCATATGTATTTTTCCCAACATCAGCAAAATAGTTTTTAAAGTTTTCCGCTTTGTCTTTCAACTCCGTAATATCTTCATAACTTTCTGAGATAGTCTTTCCATTTGGTATCATGTTTTTTATCACTTTCCATGTTGCCGCTGTATCATGTTTAGAGTCATTAAATTGTTTTTTGTAAATGTCGTTTCTATTTATATTGATGAGAGATCTGACACGTTTTTTATAACCTTCACGGAGAGTTATATCATATCTATTAATTTTTAGCTCTTTTTGTATTTAATTTCTAATTTGCATTGCCTCTTTGATGTCATTAGTTAGCCAGGGGGCTGAGGGGCAGTTTATTTTTCTCGCTACAATGAGTGCACAACTATTTAAGCATTCACAGAAGACTTTTGTTGGAATCTCATCCTGCAAATTGACGTTATCTGTGTTTATCATACTGTTAAGTACATTTGCGTTGTGTATTAATGCTTCACAAAAGATATCAGGGGAGTAATTGTTTAGACCCTAGAATGTCTTGAAGATAGGTTTCCTTTTGGATTTGTTTATGTTTAGCATAGTAATGTTGAGCTCGTGGTCTGCAATTAGTCAGGGAAATACGTCCCAATAGGGTATACTTTTCACTTTATTTCTTTATTATCAGATCTATCAGAGTCCTAGAATTAGGGATAATGAGGGTCGGTTTTGTCACTATTTGTGTTAACTTCACAGTGTTGATCACCCTTTTCATTTTGTTATCTGCTGAGAGCAAGTCATCATTAAAGTCACCAAGTATGTAGAAGGGTTTGTGGCGCACACAGATATTTCTGAATCTTTCTAGCAGAGGACTGAATGAACTGGAAGGTGCTTTTAGGTGACGGTAAACACACCCTACAATGAAAGATGGAAGTTTCTGATACTGCACAGTGATCCATATATCTTCGAGCTCTGCAGTTTTTCCTAGACCTGTAGTTATTTCTGATGCACTAAGATAATTTCTAACATAAATACAGACCCCACCCCTCGGCCATGGTCATTGTGAAGTATTTTAAACCTATGATATTCACATATTTATTTTCAGTTGTAGGAGGAAGCCAAGTTTCACTTACAGAAAGGATAACTATGTTGTAGTCTTTTGTTAGCATTATTATTTCCTCAAAATGAGCAAGAAGGGACTGAGCGTTCACAAGTACTAATGTTACATTTTTACCTTGTTTCATCAGGATGGTTTCCGTAGTCATATATATATATATATATATATATATATATATATATATATATATATATATATATATATATATATATATATATATATATATATATATATATATATATATATATATATATATATATATATATATATATATATATATATATATATATATATATATATATATATATATATATATATATATATATATATATATATATATATATATATATATATATATATATATATATATATATATATATATATATATATATATATATATATATATATATATATATATATATATATATATATATATATATATATATATATATATATATATATATATATATATATG